CCTGTGGAGAGACCTGAGATCACCAGGTGGGGTTGGGGGCCCACCATCCCCACCCATGTGCCGGGTATGAGAGTGGGCATGTTCTGAACCTCCAGGCCAGCTGTGCTGCAGGCTGAGCCCCACAGAACGACCTCCATTGCCCAATGTCACATCACGCTGAGCAGAAGAATCGCCCAGCTGAGTCCTGCTCCAACTCTGACCCCCGGACAGTGAGATATGATCATACGGTGTGTTTTAAGCCACTGCATCTTGGGACGGTTTGTAAAATAGCAGCAGATAAGCAGAATAATCAATTCCTTTAACATTTCCCAAATGGTAATGTGTCATGTTTGGTAAAGGGTTTCTTTCAGGCTGCTTCAAATTAGAAAGAACCAAGTCAGCAAACTGTGACAATAAAAAAAAAAAAAAAAAAAAAAAAAGCAGCAGCCTGAATCCCAGTGAGACACAGGCTAGCTCATTCATTTAGATTCAATTCTAATGATGATGACTTATTTTTCCCGTTAGCAGCATCACTGGTAACTAAAGTTAGCCTTGGCTCAAAAATCAATGTATTATTTTAGAGCCCAAAGCAGGCAGGGAGTGAGCTGATGACTGACAGCAGGGCTGCAGGGCCTGTGGGCTCCGGGCCTCTCTCTCCTCCTCTGCTGCCTCCCAGGGAGCCGTGTGGAGCTGGTGGCCAGTAGCCCTGAGGATGAGCAGGAGCCCACAGCAGGCTTTCTACCTTCTTGGCCACGCCTTCCTTGATACAGTGAGGCACACGTGTCAGCCAGCCGTTGGTGGTGTGGGCTGACTTGTGCTTGTCCCCCGAAACTCCTATACTAAAGTCCTCACCCCCACGAACTCAGAAAGTGACCTTATTTGGACCCAGGGTCCTTACAGAGGTAGTCAAGTTAAAATGAGCCCTAATCCAGCCGCTGGAGGCTTTACAAGAGGAGATGAGGACACACACAGGGAGGTGACGCGAAGTCACAGGACATCTGCAAGACACAAGGAGAGGCTGGGGACAGAGCCTTCCCTCACGCCCCTCAGAGGGCACCTTGATTTTGGACTCCTGGCCTCTAGAGCTGTGAGACAACAAAGCTGGGGTGTTTAAGCCACCTGGTGGGTGGCACTTTGTTCTGGCAGCCTGAGCTGACCAGGACACTTGGCGTGTTCATGCTGACCACAGCTGCACGTGTAGGGGCAGCCGTGAGCTTGCCTGGCTGCACGCCTGGGTGCTTCTGCCTGGTCGCCCCCCAGAATGGCTCTCCCCATGTTGCGGCGAGGTAGGCTGTGCACACTTGTCCCAGGCTGGACCCTGCACCTTCCCCAAGAGGGCGGCTTGGGGCCACCTCCACTCTGTCCAGTGACCCTTCACTTCCTTTGTGAAATTTCTGTGCTTTGTGGCTTCCTTCCTATGAGGTTGGGGTCCCATCATGGGGACAGCCAAGAATGACACTCCAGCTGGGTCCTTGGTTGCCCCACTTCTGAGTCTCACCGGTGAGAAACCCCCAAGCTGGAGTAGCCCCATGAATTCAAAATCGAAGCCACTAGTAACTGTCAGCGGCTCCCGGCAAGTTTTGTTCCAAGTCACAGTGGTCCTGCCCTGGCTCAAGGGAGCAAACCCAGAGGCACCGTGCAGAGGGGACTCCTGGCCGGCCTCGGGACAGTGCAGCGCGGCGAGCAGAGTCTTCAGGGAGGCAGGCCATGGGAGGATGGCCCTGGTGAGCAAGGAGCGGGCCCCACCCAGACGGCCATGGGCACAGAATCCTTGGGGAACTGCGGAAGTCCTGGTGGAGGAAGAGGGCAGCTGAGGTCAGAAGGGGAGAGGGGAGGCTGGGCAGCACCCTGCCACATCCCTGGGACCCGACGGCGGTGGTCACACAGCAGCTCCAGGAAGCAGATTCTGAGAGGGTGTACTGGGCAGGACGACTTTTAGGGAATCATTTTGGCGTCAAGCAGGGGTGGGAAGGGGTAAGTTGGGATGCCAAGCAGACCAATTTTAGCCTTGGCTGATGGCCAGGGAGCAGTGGGCAGAGTGGCCCACAGAGGCTTCCCCTGGTGGGTGAAGAAGGCCCTTGGGTGTGGGCTACCTGAGGAGGTGGCCTTGGCTGGCAGCTCTGCAGCTGAGCAGACCCCACGGTGGCCGGCAGCCCTCTCAGCAGCCTGCTGACCACTGGGACTTCACTGCTCTTCAGGACCCCTCCGATGTGCCCCCCCACTAGCCTTCCATGCCCGGTACTCAGGGGCCCCAGGGGAGCCCATCAGATGCTGGCACGTGGGCCTTACCAGTTCTCATCCGGCACCTGCTTCCTTTGCCTTTCCCGTCCCCCTGGGCTCTGGCCAGTTCCAGAGATGCCCACACGGCCACGGCCTCAAGAGCTTGTTCAGCTGTGTGGAGCCAGCGCACGGTCATGGGGCCTGCTGTGCCCTGTGGCCTGCCTGGCCCTGCCCTGCCCTCCTGGCCCTGCCCTGCCCTGCCTGCCTACTCTGGAGCACAGCCCATCTGGCTGGGCAGCCCCTTGGCGGGCTGCGGTGCGTGTCCTCAGCCCTTGGTGCTGGCCCTCGGGGCCCACGGCCTCAGCCTGGCACACCTGTCATGACTGTGTCACTCATCCGAGTGTGGCCACTGCCCAGGCTGCTGCGCCCGTCGTGACTGTGTCACTCATCTGAGCATGGCACTGCCCAGGCTGCTGGGCCCGTCGTGACTGCGTCGCTCATCCGAGCGTGGCCACTGCCTAGGCTGCTGCGCCTGTTGTGACTGTGTCGCTCATCTGAGCGTGGCCACTGCCTAGGCGGCTGCTGCTGGGGCTGCTCCTGCCTGGACCAGGCAGGTTCCAGGAAGCGGAGCCTGGGGAGCTGGGAACAGAGGCTGTGGCGCCAAAGGCAGAGGTGGCAGGAGTGGGAGCAGCTTCAGAGGCGCAGAGACGGGGAGAGGCCACCGAGGAGCACCACCTCCCAGGGCTGGACCACGGGCCGGGCCACGCGTTGACCTGTCTCCAAGCAGCTCCTGTCTCGCTGCCCCTGCGCCCTGGGGTGTGGTTCAGGAAAGGCCACCTGCACCTCTCGGCATGGGCAGGGCCAGCCAGGCCTGCAGTGGTGGCAGCTCCATCCCAGTCAGAGGCCTGGTGAGTCCCAGGGGATGCCACTGCCCTCTTGGTCAGTTTAGCCATCACAGGGCGGCACCGGGGGCCCCTCCAGCCAGGCCCTCAGCCCCTTTCCTTATCTTCCCAGTGCCCTTCCTGCTGTCTGTGGTCTTTGCTGTTTTTCTGTCTCTTGAATTTCCCTGACATTCCCTGATCCTCTGTGCTCGGGTCACAGTCTGGAGGGGCCTTCTGTGGCTGGGCGCTGCTGGTGGGCACTGGCGAGGGGTGTGTGGACCAGCCTGGCTGAGGCCTAGGCAGGGAGCTGCTAGATTTGGCCTTGAGCCCCTCTTGAGTATTCCCCTTCCCGCTCCCATCCTATCGGTTTTCCCCAACCCAGTAACCAACTCAGGAGCAGTCCATTTCATGGACAAAGTGACCGTCTCACACAGAGGGCGAGAGCCGCCAACCTCCCAGGCAGAGCGGGAGCTGAGGCTGAGGCTGGGGGTGGGGAAAGCACCTCCTGAGGGCAGTTTGCTCTAAGGAGCAAGAAGGAACTGGAGGGGGGATTCCTGGGTCTCGTCCGGAAAAGGCAGAAAAGGCAGCAGGCCAAGGTGAGGAGGGGCTTTGAGGGGAAGGCCCCCGTGAGAATCTGCCCTGGGGTGCCCTTGAACCTGCAAATCATGGTTCCTCCCCAGAGAGGCCCTGAGGCTTTATGTATGTGGCCCCAAATTGGCCACTACTTAAGGTCCATTTTAGGGGAATGGTTGTCTTAAGTTATGGAGTGACTGGAATGAACGCCCCTCAGCCATTCAAAGGTTCACTAAACATATGAATCCACATAATAAAATGCTCATCCTAGAAGCTTAAGTACAAAGATCAGGCTACAAAATGGGGCCCTTCTTGCAGTTTTGCTTTGTAAACACACAGAAGTTATGCAGAGAAACAAGTCTGGAGGAAGCACTAGACCAACGTGGAAACAGTGAGTTTACGAGTTATTTACATTTTTCCTTTCCTTCCAGTGAGTTTGTGCATTGCTTACTTTTCACTTTTCTTTTGGTCCTTGGGAACCAGTGTGTGATGTGGGCAGCTGATTAGAATGAAGGCGAGGCAGCCAGGGAAAGGTTTACTGAACCTATGAATTAATACAAAAAACAGGCTACAAAAGCATGCCCTGTCCTTGGAATTTTGCTTTGTAAAAAGCAGAAGTTATCCTAGTGGGGTAGGTGGGCCCTGGGGGTGCAGAGGAAGAGGCTCAGGAGTTAGACCTGGGGGGCAAACCCAAGTCAGGAGGAGGATTCTTTTCAGAGGACTTTCTCCGTTTCTGGTGTGTTGTCGGGCAGGGGCTCCCCACACCCCTGCTCTGGTTCCCTTAGAGAAGCAGTGCAGGAAAAAGTGCAGTAGCTTCCGGCCAGACCGGGGCCCTCCCCTGTCTCCGGAGGTGGCCTGGCTGGGTCTAGGCCCTACTGGGCGATTTGCCAGCCAGGGCGAGTCAAGGTTCTTGTGGCCCCTGTGTCCTCTCATGTGTAGTCGGAGTAGTAACCTGCTGACTTAGCTGGCACCCTCCTGTTACCGGAAAGGGGTCCCAATCCAGACCCCAACAGAAGGTTCTTGACTCTTGCCCAAGAAGGAATTTGGGGTGAAGTGAAAGCGAGTTTATTAAGTAAGCAAAGGAATAAAGAACGGCTACTTCATAGGCAGGGCAGCCCTGAGGGCTGCTGCTTGTCCATTTTTATAGTTATTTCTTGATGATAGGCTAAACAAGGGGTGGATTATTCACGCCTCACCTTTTTAAACCGTACAGGGTAACCTCCTGGCAGTGCCATGGCATCTGTAGACTGTCATGGCGCTGGTGGGAGTGTAGCAGTGAGGATGACCAGAGTCGCTCTCGTCACCATCTTGATTTTGGTGGCTTTTGGCCGGCTTCTTTACTGCCAGCTGTTTTATCAGCAAGGTCTTTACGACCTGGATTTTGTGCTGACCTCCTATCTCATCCTGTGACTTAGAACGCCTGAGAATGACTTGAAATGCAGCCCAGTAGATCTCGACCTCATTTTACCCAGCCCTCCGGTTCACACGCCTCTGACACTCCTGCCGAGGGCGCGACGTCTTGCCTGCCTGGCGTGCGGCAGCTCCGCGTGGGGCTTCATCCCAGGTCTGGTGCTGGAGAGTTCAAGGAAATACAGGACGGCAGAGGGGGCGTGGGTGCAGGGTGGGCTCCCAATGCCTCATCCAGTGGCCATCTGGGGACAGGGTTGGATGCCGCTGGTGCCTGACTCTGATTCATGAGATGAGCGAGGAATGACTGAACACTCTCTGGGAGCCTTGGGCAGACATTTGCTTTTGGCTGAGGCTGGCACCCCAGGGTGGCCACCCTAACTCCCCAGCGTGTACCCTCCTGTGCCTGTGCGGCCCCCGTGCTTCTGCAGTTAGGACCTCTCTAGGCTGTTCCTGGGGCGCTGGGGGGGTTCTCCTCCTGGCAGGCCCTGGTGTGAGCATGAAGCTGCACGACCATCAGTGACTCGCCAGTTCTCTTCCTTGCCTCCCCTCCTCTGACCCTTCCCTCACCACACGACTGCGTTTTTGGGATGCCCAAAGCTCCCTAGGACAGACCGTTTCCTGCTCTGTCTTCCCACGAAGCTGCCCCGTGCACGGTGCTCGCGTGAGGACACTCGGATGCAGGGATCACTCTGTGTCCTCAGATGAGCGCCGGATTTGTGCAGCGGGGACCGGCCCCTCTGCCTGGCAGTGGCACCATCTGCTGCCAGTCCCTCAGGCCTGCAGAGCTCCCGCAGAGAGCCCGTCTGGCTTGGGCCTCCTCCTCTTCTCTGCCAGCGCTCAGAGGGAGGTGGCGCAAGGGCCAGGTGGCACCCACCTGCTCCCCTCCTCTCTCACCACCAGGCAGCCCCCCACCAAGCCCCCGCTGTGGGAAGCTTGAGGGTGGCTGACTTGGCCGGGGGCGGGTGGTGGTCACCGGGCTGTTTGCTGCTGATATTCCCAGGTCTCCGCTTTTGGGGATGTGGAAGGAGACCCATCCTGGTTTCCCAGTGGTTGGATGGAGCAAAGTAAATGGTTCTGGCTTCGATGGTAGCAGAAGTGATGAGTTGAGAGTGGCCTCTAGGCTGGGCACTTAATTTCTAATGTGAGTCTTCTCAAAATTCTTTCTGCCTCTTCTACTAAGCAGCCAAATTCCAGAGGAAAGACCCCGAACTCTAGCCTTGGCGTGAGGGAACATGTAGGGGAGCCCTGCCCTTCCCGTGGGATTCAGTGTGAGTAATACTGCATCTCTGATTGCCTTTCTACTTTTATTTTTTACAAAAGCCTACAGCACCCTGTATGCCCGGGTGGTCTCCCATCCAAGTGCTAATTAGGCATGACCCTGTTTAGCTTCCGAGATCACACGAGATCGGGCATGTTCAGGATGGTATGGCGTAGACTGTATCTCTGATTGAGTCACTGCAATGAGGTTGCTGACTGTTTCAGGGCAGGAAAGCTGATCCCGACTGACACAGGCCCTGTGGAAACTGCCTCTTGTTCAGAAAGAAGGAGCTGCTCCTGGCTAGAGGAGCCCTGGTGATTCATGTGGTGCAACCCTTTACAGAAGGGGAAACTGAGGCCCAGAGCGGGAAGGATGGAGTCTCAGGTCACAGAGCCAGTTGGCTGGTGCCACAGCTGGGAGGCAGATTGCTTGCCTTGCTGGTATCTTCCTTGTTGAGTCACAATTGCTTCCAGAGACTGGATTTGTGGAAATGCTTCTAAAGCAGAACAGAAAAACAAATGGTCCGACTTTGGGGTGAGGGAGAGTTAATAAAGAGAATTTTTATTGAACACTCATTTTTCAATCTTAGCCTGAGGCCAAGAAGACCATCCTGCTGCTATCATTGAGGCTGCAGGCTTCCCGGCAGGGGCGTAGCTGGGTTGCCCCCGGACGCCTTTGAACAAAGTTTGCAGCCTTCTCTGAAGAGCACACTGAGGTCCCTGGGAGACCAGCCAGGGGAAGAAACGGGCTGGTGCTGGCTAGGCCCTTTCTGGACGGGCTCACATTGCCGCGTGTAGGTTGTATTACCCTTGTCTTGTTCTTTTTTCTTTTCTTTTCTTTTTTTTTTTTGAGACAGAGTCTCATTCTGAGCCCAGGCTGGAGTGCAGTGGTGTGATCTCGGCTCACTGCAACCTCCACCTCCTGGGTTCAAGCAATTCTCCTGCCTCAGTCTCCCGAGTAGCTGGGATTACAGGCATGTGCCACCACACCCGGCTAATTTTTGTGTTTTTAGTAGAGATGAGGTTTCACCATGTTGGCCAGGCTGGTCTCGAACTCCTGACCTCAAGTGATCCACCCTCCTCGGCCTCCCAAAGTGCTCAGGGATTACCGTCGTGAGCTACCGCGCGTGGCCAGCCTTGTCTTGTTCTAAAGGCGAGTGCGTGGAGGTTTGCAAACATTGACCTGTCCAGGATCACACAGCTGGTAGGTGATAGAGCTGAGTTTGAACGTGGGTGGTGTGGCCCTAGGACTGGTTCCTGGAGCAGTCAGCTGCAGCCCGGCTCAGCATCCAGATTTTGCCACCTTTGAGCTGTGTGTCCGTGGGTATTGCTTCGCCTCTGAGGTTGTTTCCTTGCCCCTCAGGTGGATTCTAGGGCAGATCCTAAGCCTGCCATCTTGGTGTTCCCATGAGTTTTGCAGACAACGTGTGTGAATGCTGGTTGGGGTCAATGCAAGGCAGGCAAGGCTCATGCACGTAGAGTCCTGGGAGTTCCTGCAGCACAGACCCTCCTGGGAGATCCGCTTCTTCCACCCTCGGACCTGCACCCAGCAGCTTCCCTGGAAGAGAAGCCCAATTTCCCTGAGGCTTTGGCGGCCGTTCCCAGAAAGGGCTGGCCCCTTCTGGGAAGGAAGGAGGAGAGAGGGTGGCGGCAGGGAGCAGCTGGTGGCTGAGCAGAGAGGTCAAGGGAGGGAAGCGGACGCTGCCGGGAAGCGCATATTGATTTCCTCCTTTTAAAAATGGACTCAAGTGGAATCATTCATAATGTGCCCTCCCGCCGCTGACAATACCCATTCCCATCACTGTCAGGGAAATGGATTTGCAGCACTCTCGGAAAAAGCCAACACGTTGCCGGAGACGAGCAGAGGCGGCTTGGTTCCATCCCCAGACGCTTTCTGGTGGCTTTCTGGAGACAGAGGGCGGCAGGATGAGCTGTCTGCGGCCGTTCCCCGGACAACACTGCAGTGAGCCTTGCAGCCTTGACAAGCAGCCACCCCATCGTGGGCCGGGTGATGAGAGGGGAAGCCCAGAGGGACCTGACAGAGCCCTTGGGTCAGGGAGGCCGCCTGGGGAAGCCAGTGCCTGAGATGAGTCTCAGGAGTGGCCATGTAGAACCTTCTAGGTGGAGGGACAGCCTGCCCGGCCCCTGGCCAAGAGGCTCCCTGCAGGAAACCAGTGGGAGCCCAGTGTGGCTGGGACTCTCAGGGTGAAGGCAGGAGATGGGGAGGCTGGAGAGAGGGATAGGAGCACTCGGGGTCCCGGCGTCTTTCCCTGCTACCACCCTTCAGGGGCCGTCAGTCCAGGTGTGGGGAGGCACCTTTGGGTGGGGTATGGCCCGTGCTGCTCACCCACAGTGCCCACCCTAGGCCTGGAGCTGGCAAAGGGACACTGACCAGAGGCCACTGTTCTGCTTCCCTTGGGCTTGGCTGAGGCTGCCTGGCAGCAGTGGACACATTCCGAGCCATGGCCCCTGTGAGTGGTGCTGCCTGCTCTGAAGAGAGCCCGGGCCAGTCCCCTGCCCAGGCAGACCATCTCCCCTGTCAGCAGGGCTCAGGAGGCCACCGCACCCAGGTGCATCTCAGTGTTCATTCATCCACTCATTCATTCCTCGGGAGGATCATCAACACCTGGGCCTGGGCAAGGCAATGGGGAGCGAGCCCCACAGCGTTACCGTGGGGGCAGGTGGGGGGCAGGACTCACAGCATTATGGTGGGGGAAGGAAGGGAGCGGGACTCACAGCATTATGGCGGGGGCAGGTGGGGGGTGGAACCTACTGCGTTTTGGTGGGGGCAGGTCAGGGGGCGGGACCCACAGCATTTGGTGGGGGCAGGTGGGGGGCGGGACCCACAGCATTATGGTGGGGGCAGGTGGGGGGCGGGACCCACAGCGTTATGATGGGGGCAGGTGGGGTGCGGGACCCACAGCGTTATGGTGGGGGCAGGTGGGGGGCGGGACCCACAACGTTATGGTGGGGGCAGGTGGGGGGCGGGACCCACAGCGTTATGGTGGGGGCAGGTGCGGGGGAGGGACCCACAGCGTTATGGTGGGGGCAGGTGGGGGTGTGGGACCCACAGCGTTATGGTAGGGGCAGGTGGGGGGCGGGACCCACAGCGTTATGGTGGGGGCAGGTGGGGGGCGGGACCCACAGCGTTATGGTGGGGGCAGGTGGGGTGCGGGACCCACAGCGTTATGGTGGGGGGGGGGGGGGGACCCAGCGTTATGGGGGGCAGGTGGGGGGCGGGACCCACAGCATTATGGTGGGGGCAGGTGCGGGGGAGGGACCCACAGCGTTATGATGGGGGCAGGTGGGGGTGTGGGACCCACAGCGTTATGGTAGGGGCAGGTGGGGGGCGGGACCCACAGCATTATGGTGGGGGCAGGTGGGGGGCAGGACCCACAGCGTTATGATGGGGGCAGGTGGGGTGCGGGACCCACAGCGTTATGGTGGGGGCAGGTGGGGGGCGGGACCCACAACGTTATGGTGGGGGCAGGTGCGGGGGAGGGACCCACAGCGTTATGGTGGGGGCAGGTGGGGGTGTGGGACCCACAGCGTTATGGTGGGGGCAGGTGGGGGTGTGGGACCCACAGCATTATGGTGGGGGCAGGTGGGGGGCGGGACCCACAGCGTTATGGTGGGGGCAGGTGAGGGGCGGGACCCACAGCGTTATGGTGGGGGCAGGTGGGGGGCGGGACCCACAGCGTTGTGGTGGGGGCAGGTGGGGGGCGGGACCCACAGCGTTATGGTGGGGGCAGGTGAGGGGCGGGACCCACAGCGTTATGATGGGGGCAGGTGGGGTGCGGGACCCACAGCGTTATGGTGGGGGCAGGTGGGGGGCAGGACCCACAGCGTTATGGTGGGGGCAGGTGGGGGGCGGGACCCATAGCGTTATGGTGGGGGCAGGTGGGGGGCAGGACCCACAGCGTTATGGTGGGGGCAGGTGTGGTAGGGGCAGGTGGGGGGCGGGACCCACAGCGTTATGGTGGGGGCAGGTGGGGGGTGGGACTCACAGCGTTATGGTGGGGGCAGGTGGGGGGCGGGACCCACAGCATTATGGTGGGGGCAGGTGGGGGGCGGGACGTACTCCGTTTTGGTGGGGGCAGGTGGATACACACAGGCTTTGAAGCCAGGTGGACTGGGATCAAATCACACACTGTAGGTGACCTTTAGAAAGCCACTGAAGATCTCTGGGCCTCAGATTCCTCAACAGCAAAACAGGGCTAACCCTTGTCGGATGACTGTGGGGCTCCAGGGACATGGTGGCTATGAAGGACCTGGCAGGTACTAGGCCCCCACCAGGGCCCCAGGAGCTCAGCCCAGGTGCTCTTCGTTTACCTGGACACTTCAGGCAGGCTGTGCCACAGGGCCTTGGCACACGCTACCGCCTCCCTGTCATTCCAGCACTGCCCCCTGCCCTGCCGCATCCTCTTGCCACGGTGCTCGGTGATGTCCCATGGAGATGGCTGTCTTTTCTTTCCCTCGCTAGAATGTGAACCTCTCTAGGGCTGGGGTTTTGATTTGTTTTGTTCTCCCAGTCTCCTCCATGCCCAGAACAGTGCCTAGTCCTTGGCAAGGGTGAGGGGTGCTGCTGAGTGGCTAGAGTGCCTGAGAGCAAGGCCTTGGCCATTTCTGCTCACTAACCCTGAGCCATGGGAGACGGGTCTGGGCTGGGGGCCTTAGTGGAAGGGGGCTGTCAGTCCTTCTGAACCTCTCCAAGGCGGGAAGAGAGAGAGCTGGTTCGACCCCTGCAGGGAGTTCGGGTGGCAGGGTCAGGCCCCGGGTGAATGAGGCTCCATCCCTGCCTGTGAGAAGCTCCTGGTCTGGAGGGGCCCAGCCATGAGAAGAGTTGGCAGCCGCCCAGGATGATGTCAGAACCAGACCCAGGCAGCGACTTCTTGGGTCAGGGTGCCCCTTGTCAACCTCAGAGCTTGGCGGTAGCCCAGGGGCCCGATGGGGAGGCACCCCCAACCTTCCCTGGCCACATGGGTGAGTATTCATGGGCCTGGCTGTGTAGGTCAGTGAGACCCAGGCTCCTTAGGAGCTGTGTGCTGGCATGCTGTCTTGGTCCTCAAGAGCTGCTCCCGCCTGGTCATCACAGGCACACGCAGATGGCAGAGGATGTGTAAAACCCCAAGGGGCTGGGGATGTTGCCTGGGCTGAGCAGCTGAGGGATGCAGCAAGCGACTGAGTCAGGGTGTCCACGCCAGCACACACAAGCACGGGCCTGGGGTTTGCCGAAGGACGGAGTCCTCTGTCAGCGACGGACACGAATCTTCCTGGGATAGGGGCCCGAGCTGGATCTGAGTCCTGTCCGGCTGGTGCCCTCTGACTGTGCGTGGTGACTGGCTCACTGAGCCTCAGTTTCTTCACCTGTAAAGCAGGCGTGGTAACAGCACCGCCTCGGGGGCTGTCTTGGGGTAGAGTGCACACTGAGCACTGCTTGTTCTCGCAGTTACCATGGGGATTCGAATTCCCTCCATGGCATGAACCTCAGGTGCTGGAGGGGCCTTTCCCGAGATCTTTTTGGACGGTGGAGCCTCTGCCAGGAGACTGTAACCAAGAAAGGAGGGCGG